TCATAGATGAATAGGATTTTAATGTTGGCCCCACACTTTTTTTCGAGTTTGATAAGACTATCTCAAACGTGAATAAATGCGAAGTATCAGGACCTGAGGATTTGTTATCAAAAGTTTTTAAGTATGACAATAGTGATTTGCTCAGCAGACTACTAGCGTTATTAGTTGATCTGTGGAATCATCCTGTCAGTAGACTGTTTAGTTTCTTTGTATCAATGATTAGTGGTTCTATATTTAATGATGATTGGTGTATAAATATGTACACTTCCATTAGAGGTGATATATCATCAAACAACGTACAAGCTAAGTCAATCTGGCTGACAGCCAACTCATAGCTCTAACCAATGATATAGCAGCAGATTTAAAAAAAATCAGTCAATCAGTGTGCACAGTAGCATCATTTAATCGAAAGTAATATCATCAGTAACTTTTAAAAACGTAAGTGGTTTAGGACTTGTCTGTAGCAACTACTAATTTGAGGATAGAGGGTGAAGTGGTATATATATATATATATCCCGAATTACAACAGGTTAGTTTATAATAACAATAATACTGATACATACTGTGGATTAATATTTACTTAAAGCGAAGAAGTGGTTCACTTAATTTTTGTAATAGTTGTTGAAATAAAATTTTTCACTATCGATCGATTAGCTACATTCTTAAGGAATATACATCAAATAGCAGTTTTAAAGATACTAGTTGAATAGTTTTACGCTCTTTCTTTCTGTGCGAGGGTCATGGAGTTATGAGAGTAAATTGATGGCCTTCTTTGTTTATATGGTTTTCATAATTGACATTTCATTGTTTTTAATTTCAATCTTTCTATGAAATAGAAGTTATATAGTCAGTGAAAAGTTAAAACTATTGCTTTCTAAGTATTCAACTTGTATTGGTATTTCCATCCATTAATCTTTGTTGTCAGTAAATCTTAAATGTTAATATATGACAAAGTAAATTAACTTCACTAATTAGACTTTTTTGCAAAGGAAAAACATCGGTTAGCACGATTACGAAGTATTTTCGTGTAGTTTATACCTTATATTTATCTTAATGTGTTAAGTTATGGTTGGAATCAGAAATTCATCGATGTAGTATGATCAAAATTAAAGTGAATTCAAAGTCAACTAGCTTTTTTTAATCAGAGTTTCTTTTATTCATTCCTATTTTTCTTGATGTCTTATTTGCTGTATTATACTCTCTTTTTTACTTTCTTTCGCGCAATATTTTAATTTGAATAGATCATATTACACGCTGTTTTTAAAAAGTGCAAATATTTATATTTCCCCCACTTCATACATAGCTAACTCTATAAATTCAGTACGTCGCAGTAGCTTGTAAAACTCGATTTCTGTGTCAAGGATCAATACTCATGGGTTGGATGTACCTTCGTTTACTGTTTTTATGTTTGCATACTGTAGCTACTTGGTTTATTTGGTAATCTATTGTTTAGCGTGAAAATACGTGCTGCTTGAGCAATAGAAAAAACCTAGTAAAATGTCTTCTTTTCTAGCCACTGCATCATCTTTTGTCTGTATCCTAATGAATTTTTAAATCACTTATTGCATCAGATGGTTGGTGAATGTGTTACGCATGCCTAACCGCCGTCTGCGCAAATGCGACATGCTTACGCTTGAAAAAGGTTAAAGTTGACTAGATGTGGCATCAGTTCATGAAGTCTTTGATTACTGGCGTAGGCCATATAGGAATACATAGACTTCCCAGCTGAGGCCTGTAGAGTAACTGAAATCGGTGGTTCGAGACTCTGGATAATATGACTCAAAATCTATCTCAATGGCGCATATGCATCTGCATATTATCTTCATCGTATTCGTCTCGTTACACTTCACTGTTTAAAACTACTCATCGCTTTTATAAATTTGTTTTGCCTCCTCTTCTTTTCACCTGATAACTTTCCATCCACTTCTTCATGTTTCCTCTTGATGGCCTGTATTTTGATGTGATGTGACAACTCGGGCAGTTAGACAGTATTACTAGATTCAATGTTGATATTCACTGACTCTTTCTGCTTTTATATTTGTATAATGTCATTGTACTTTGTCGGACACATTCTTGACTAATTACATTTTGTTCATTTTATGCCTAATAAAAATTGATAATGCAGTTATGCATTTCCTATTTACAAACCGGATGAGATGTCGACATTAGGCTTCAAAGGTTGATAAATTTGTGATTAACCTGAAACGCAAAAAATCATGTTTTGTTGAAATATAACTTCACATACTTCAATGTGGTGTTCCAAGAATACTGCCTAGACTGTGACTGAGATACTGACAAGAATCGGATATGTATCTCTTGATTGGTCTGAATTATTCATCCTTCTAGTCATCACAAAAGGAAAGAAAAGCTCTTTCTTTATAGCCACAAGGGAATTAACTTTTCTGGTGTTTTTGTTCTAAGACTGTAATTTGTACAGTCATTCAACACGTGACAGGAGCTGTAAGTCTTAAAGAGGAGGCAGACAATATGCAAACAATATTATAAAAGTCCTGGTCAGATCTCTGCCATTTGTGACGTTTAGCAATGTAAGCTCACCATATCCCTTAACATCAGTGAAACTTGAACCCGTTAATTAGGAGTTACCGTATCACTTTCTCTCAAAGAAAAACGTGTCTACTAAGTTTATTACATTTCTAGGGCGTTCGTTATTCTAACTATGAGTACGTAACATTTGTCTTAATCTACTCTTTAATATGTCTCCATCAAGTGTTATTCTTTAAGGGTCTCTACTCCTTTTATGTAGAGGTACTTATTCAAGTTACTATCTCCTCTTCTGACATAAGATGGATGGATTGCTTCACCTAGTAATCTTCATTCACATTATTTCGTATGGTCAGTTGTGCAAGGTGAAAAATTGGTAAACAAAGTCTTCTGAACACTACTGAGTAGCATTTGAGAATGTTTGGAATCTATCTCTCAGATGTCAGTTGTTCCTTTACGGTCAGTTTACATCGATGCCAAATTTATCATTAAGTTTCAAAGGGGGTGAGCTTGTTGTTCACTTCACCTTCCTTAGAAGTTTCATTAGCTCTAATTGCTTATGGTTCAACGAAATCTTGGTAGAGAGATCTAAGGTTTGATTAGTAATTGGCAGTTTACGGTAATAAGATGGTCAAGTATAATAAGACGTTGATATAATAATGATGCTGGATGCAATAAGACACCTGAACTGAATACGATAACACCTGTTCACTGAGCCAGACAAACACCAGAAGAATGGTCTGTAACCGTTATGTCCACTTTATTCTACTTGAATACATACAGTTTTTACACACATAGGAACGCGCTAGGTCAGCGATAAAATAATTTATCCTGATTACATTCTAAAGTACGACATTGTCCAGTGAAATTTATCCGAACCACAGCAGCATGGCTCAAAATTTGAAGCTCAAAAATTTCTGCCTTATCAGCTAATAACTCAAAATGTTGGTTTCCATTTTAAACGTTTCTTACTAACTAATTGTTCACTGGTGTGATATTCAAATGTTTATTAAGCCTAGTGTGTACTGTGCTCCTTTTTGAAAAAATAGCATCAGAAGATAAAGTATTTGCCCAAGTTATCATTGTTCAACCACCGTCACCTAACTGTTGTCCATCTGTTGTGCAGTCAGTACTTCAACTCTACTGGCGTTTAACATAGAGTTTTTGATGCAAGAGTCAAATCATTTGAGGAAGTTGCTAGCCTTCATCGAATGGGATATATCATTGATATGTTATTCGCATCTTGCATCAAAGCGCTGTCGATTTTCCGGTCGAAATCCTTGGGACAATTATTAACAGTGTTTGTAATTTTTAGGTGGTACGCTTCAGGGTTAATTGCAATCGGTATAGCTGCATCCTCATATTCTTTTCGCTTCAATCTCGATCATCTAATCAGGGGGTATATGTTACTATGCTGACGCGATAACCTTTTTTCCTGTTGTTTTGACATTGTTGAAACTGATGATATTACTACATCTTTTCGCGGATATGAAGTGTGGTAACTTTCACTGACAAACAATTACGCATGGATTTGAAGCAGTTAGTCCCTTTTATCAATTTCGATAGTTTAGTTAGAAAACGAAGTTTATCTGAACAATGGGATGTATTTGCGCAATACATTTCGAACAATCTGATCACACATTTACTTGCCAAGTCAACATATATTATACCCAGGACTTGGGGGAGGGGGGGGCAAATACAACAATTAACACAATAGGAGATTAAGATTAAGAAAAATAAGACACATGGTCGTAGGATATCATTGGTTTAGGTAGTTTTCTTCCAACCGGTGAGTCGAACGTTTGAACACCGTTCCACTTACCGAGGTTTGGGCAGCTAGGTAGTATCATTAGCCCTCATACTTTAGGTATGGCTCACTGCCTACTGCACGAACGTGCACAAGATGACTGTTTTTTAATCATTATACCAATTTCTGTTTTTACCGATAGACTACTTTCATACACTGTATCTATTTATGAACTTCAGGATCAAAACTTGGTCTGATAGAGTTGAATAAGTCGAGCATTGGATAAATGGGATTATAAATGAAATATATTTGTAAAACCACAAATTCAATTTTTCTACCTCATCGGGATTTTACAAATATATTTCATTTATATGTCTATTTAGTTGAACTTAAAATGTCCAAAATTCTACAAGACACTTTTTAGACCCTTGATATCCGCTTAGTAACCGTGAATTCCAACTCCTTTTATCTTGAGTAGTCTCGTTTAATATTGGCACCGATAGCGCAAATAAGATTCACTGTTGTGGTTTAAATTTAAAATATTATTGCTGGGATTGCTTGAGCTCTTATAATTGAAGTTGCTCTTTTTTATATACTAGGTTTTCCACCCCTAGACAATAGTTTCAAACTCAGCCAACCTTATTAGTGTCCTAGTAATCAAATAATTTCTTTAGCCCGTATACACATCTTTACAGAGTTAATTGAGTTGTAGCTATGTATTAAAACAACAAAAAATATTTTTTCCTCCTAGAAATGAATTGGAGAGAAGATTTTTAGAAATCATTCAGTTCAATATCAACGTGCCTAGTTCAGTGTATGCAAAATACTATTTTGATATTCGATCTCTTTGTGGATCCACCTGTCAACCAACACTTTTATCTACCGATCGTGCTTATAAACTTGAGGTATGTTTAAATTCTTTGGCGGTGATTAAAAATTGAATTTTTTGTTTACCAGCTCTCTAGTTTCATTTTAATCAGGAACTAGCAATACTGGTTTACAACAAAGTTAAAATGATTTGTTTTTATATGTAGATGTTATCCAAGCAAAGAAGGAGTAGTGAATTCACCCTGTAAGTAATGCTAACCTCGTAAAACAGCTTAGTGGACAATGCTTTGTTATTTGAAGTAATGTATGCCGGATTTTAGATACAATTAGGACAATCACATGATGAATCTCAAAGGGTACGCTACGTATGTATGTGTTGCTAGATTCGTCACTAAAATGCTAAAGTAAGGCATTATTTTGAATAATGTTTATCAAGGCAGATCCTATTTCCGTGTGTATCACTGTTCGCAGACTGTGACGAGTACTGTTTATTCGGTTGAACCATATTCTCTCATTAGTCATTATCGGGTAGATTCATAAGCTGCAGAACACTTTCACAAGTTATCTACCTAGTTTCAGAATCAGATATTCAATCCCCAACCGGCATTTGGAAAATACTTTTTATATAGTTAGAGAATGGAAACAGTATTTTAGTGGATATATCCTTCAAGTTATCTTTCGATTATTTTATTTTTTAAAAACTTCATTTCCCACCAACTGAGATTTACAGAACAGGGAAATTCCATGTCATTTATTTTACGTGAGCATGTACGTTAGATGTATTAGGATAGAATCATGGCTGTAAACTTTTTAGATGTCTACAAAGCACTTCTTGTTTGTCATGACTAATATGCTTGAGTTACTTAGTTGCAGGTTTTGTCTTCTCAGAGAAAAAAAGATGAGTAGATTCTTTAAATGCTCAGAATACTCCGATAGATTGTTATAGCTTATCAAGAGCTATGGCTCGGTTATCTACACACTCAGCTTTCAACCAATGAGTCTTTTGAACATCTTCAGTGGCAATTTGAGAATGTTTGGAACGTGTTTCTCGCCGCTCACATGGAAACTTTAGCTCCGTGACTGGTGCCATTTAACAATAGAGAGTGTAATGGTTGAGCGCATTGACCACTTTATCTACTTGGGAAGTCGAATCAGCCCTCGTAGGTCATTGACCGACGAAATCTCTGCACGCATACAAAGGGTTTGACTGGCTTTCACCAAATCACGCATATGTGGCGCCATCGTGATGTTCGATTTTCTACCGAGGATAGGGTGTACGGTGCTGCAGTTGGCTCCGTTCTACTGCATGGCTGTGAAACATGGCCATTAAAGGTAGAGGGCATGACAGGGCTTCAGGTATTCGACCACCACTTCCTTAGTAGCATAGGCTGTGTTATGGTATCATCACGTCAGTAGCACAGAGGTCAGGCGTACAGTTTTAGAAATTCAGTTGAAGAGATTGTGAATCTTCATGGACTGGGATGTGTGTTATATATGTCTAGTCACTGGTCTGCCTCGTCGCGCATTGTTAGCTGAAGTAGGTTTAGGCTGGAAAACGGTTAGGGTGGCCAAACCAGTAGCCTTCCCACAGATGTGGCTCACTGCCACACGAACGTGCATTTCAACTTTTTTCCTTATAGTTTACATTACTACAACCAATAACATTTGCTTTGTCGTATTGTAGGCATTTTCAAGAGTTATGGATGATCAATTTCATGACGTTGTCCAAAAATGTCTTACCAGACGGAAATGGGGAAGTTTCGACAGTTTGACATCTTCACCGCCGTTTCGACGTGCCGTTATTTCCTGATAAACCGGGATCTTGTCATCCTACAACAATGACTTATGTGTAAAATTCAGTTAACTGTTTTTTTATTTCTGGCGTGCATCAACATTTCCGTCCTTTCTTCGTTTTTGTAACAAAAAAGTCGTTCTTGATCTGTATCCTAACTTTTTACTGTCCTTATTATCTAACACTTCTATGTATATGATACAGAGAAGTTCCCAGTGTCATATATTTTTATTACCTTGATCTCAATGTTGTGTATTTTTTTTTTCATTTAAGATACGACAAAAGTGCATTTGTATAGTAATTTGCGTCGAAGTTGACTGCGAATTACAAAGAAATTCTGCTTCTAATCAAATATTTGTATGAATTGTTTTAGTGTACTTTCTTCCTTATGCAATCTCTCCATCCTAGTATATATCCATAGGTCTTTAATATGTTTTTACTTTGGAAATACTTTTATCGTCCAAACGACCCCCTTTCACACGTATAACTGGTCTTTCAAACGTAATATTTTGCGTGTTCTCGCTTGCGCTTATCCAGTTTTTACTGAATTACGTTTTGAATTATTTCTTTAACTTTGTACATTTTTCCCTCATGTTGAATAAAAATACAGGCAAACAATGTAAATTTTCACAATATGTACACCGTAATTTTCCATGTTTATTTTCTTGTCTCGATAGAGTACAAGGTGTACTTGATTTTAAAACAACTAATAAACATACTTTGGCATTACAAACAGCAAGTGCGAGTAAAATGTTTAGGAACATGTTTTTGTTCTCTCACATAAGTTATTTACATGTAATTTCTTAAATTGGTGCAATTTTGTTTCTTTTTCACTACAGCTTAGTAATGAGTCTCTATGTTTGACCATTATGTAACACATGTGCTTTCCTCCCCATCACAGCCTCACTCTTACCATTCGTTTATCTGCCTATTATGCAATAATGTAATGACATAGGTTACTTATGTCAGGATTTATACCTCTCCATGTGCTCTCTTAATTGTTTTTTTGTTGACAAAATCTTAGTAGTGGTGTTACTGGAAACAACCACGCGCAAACTAACTGTCTTATTGTCACATTATATGAACAAGTAGATTTATAGCTTTACGTGAATAACATTCGTTGCTCTCTGCTGTATTGTTTCATCATCAGAAACCTTGGTAGTCAGAAAGGTTCACTAACATTTTTTGTTTACGGGAGATTATCTTTTCAATGTTATAACAAATTCCTTTATATATGCATAATGTTGTTTGTAGATGTTGAGTGTATTTATACTTCACTACTTTTTACGGTCGAATTTTACACTAAGCTAGTTTATCGTTGATTATTCCTGGAACTGTGAACCTTGTAACTAACATCCCAGTGATATTAAGACCCAGAGGTTGTAGACATGAGGAACACAGCAGTGGTGTCAGTTCCTGTGGGGGAGAAAATTTCGTTGCACCAGTTCTACTTGTTACAGTTTGGGGAACTGCGAAAAACCAACTACACTCACAACCCTGTTGGCACTCAAATTACACTCTACCTTCTAAATCCTTAGCTTATAATCTATATTCACGTATCCCGGTAGCAACTCTTACATCATCTTTACTTCGTTCCTGCTCTGAAGCTCTTAACACCGATCTAAGTTCACGGAACAGCATCCCCGATCTCCAGAAAACGGACTCCAAACTACACATTACAGCTTCCTATGTCCCCACCCCCCGTCAAGTTGGACAATCAGCTTCGCCAACCAAAATACTGGTATCTCGAACCATGTGCCGTTTCCGAGACACGCACACTGGACCTAAGTGTGGTTATTCACTTAACCTCATTCAGCCAGGGTTGTGAATAAGCAGAATTTCCCCTTTGAGTTTCTGTACATTCGATGGCTACTTCTTGTGGTCTTGCAGGTGTTAAGTACAGACAGAAAGGGCACTGCTCGACTGCATCTCAGCTGTCTGCACACTGTCTGACTAAACACTGCAGTGAGGACTAAAAACAGTAGTGAAACTCGGAGTTGTACCTGGAATGTCTGCCTTTGCAGCTCCTAACTGCAGTTTGAGATGAGTTCCATCGAAAACTGTCCAGCCTCCTACTGAAAGCCAAGCCTTCAGCTGTGGTGTTTGTAGCAGTTGATTTTAATATGCAAGGGGGTAGTCTAAGTCAAACAAAACAACACTTAGGTATTCCTAGTCAAATGGACAGATGACGCCACCGCCTGCTACAACTGTGTCCAGACAACCATTTGATTCCGGTCAATACGAACTTCAAGCATAAAGAAAAACATTGTCTGACGTGGCATCCGCCGACTTCAACTCAACTGTATTGCTGTTAGTTATTTCTAGAAATGGTCAGCGGGAGATTAATTCTTCCGGACAAGCTTTTAGATAGCGATCACTCGCTGGTTCGAGCATGCGTATATCTGTGCCTAAATGGACGTAGGAGAACTATAGCAAGATGACCATTGCGAGTGCAACTCAACAATAAGAGCACTAAGGAGACTTTCAGTGAGCTGACTGACCATTTATCAGGATAGAAAACGGCACACATCCAGGAGAAGCCTGGCGCCAACTCGTTTGCTGTGAAAACAGCGTTGAGAACCTGTAGCCGACTCTCAGAGTGGTTAAAAACAATCAGTGGATCTCAGTAGCTTTTTCTGAATTGATGGATGCACACGAACGCATCTTTTCAGGCTCCGAGTACAATGAAGAGGGGAAGCAACTTAAAAGTAGACTGATAAAAAGTCTACGCAATGACCGTGAACAATGGTGGGTAGCGAAGGCAGTGGCAACAGTAGAAATTTATTTAGACTTGTACTTCCAACTAGTGAAGTCACGACTACTGATTGTGCATCATTAGCTGTTTCACATGTTTAGTACACAAACCAATGTGTATTATCTTAATTTTAGGAAATAAGCATATGCAGCTAATAAACATTCTTATCAAACAGAAGTGAAGCGAATAAGACGAAACTTGATTCTTAAAAGTGAGTAGTATTTAAAAGGAAGTTCAGATGAATGAACTAAAGTTTATAACCAATATGAGTACAATGTTACAGAAAAACATAATGAAATACAGGATCACGAAAATGTCATACCTAACGTCTCGTGGTTGAAGAGAATGGAATATTACTGGAAGAAGTACTTGAAATATACAGGAAACAATTTCCACAGTGATCTTTACTTGACATATATGTCATGTGTCTGCACTACACCTATAAAAAGTCCTATTTTTTCTATCGTTCGTTTTTTATTTACAAGTGATTACAGCATGAAGACTAATGATATTTACATCACAGTAGTATCAATCAGTTTTAAGAGACTTTAACTCTTCAATAAGCTTTTCAACATCACGTTTATGACTTAGCTTTTCATGTTGATCTTTGTTTAACTTTTCACCAGCTAGTTTCTTCCTTTCTATGTCTTCTATCTGCAGTAATCTCTTCTGTTCCCGTTTAAGCTTTCGATCAACAGTTATAGTTGGTTCACCTGAAACTTCGACGTGCGTGTGATCAACAGCGTTAGCTGACAGGATTTGTTTTGATGGTTCTTTAGAGTCAAGTATTGTTTTTTGCTCTGAAATTTATGAAAAAAGGACAGATTTATTATGGTTATGTCAACAAAAGCTTGAAACCTTAATACACACTTCAGGGAGAAAAAACAATAGAAATGATTGAAGTTTGAAACGCCAATAATAACCATAATATAAAATATTTTGCAATGCGTGTGAAAGCGATATGCCAACAAACTTCTTTTAACTTAATGATATCAAGAAGAACCAAATTTTAACAATGGTATACCCAGCTTCCACATTTGCAGATGAATGTCGCACAAGCTATGCCAATTCTAGAATCTGACGCCAATTTACTATCATCTCACTAAAAGTGAAGTCTATGTAGAAACAAAACAGTTGAGGATTGATTAAATTCGTTACTGGGAAATAACACCGAGTCTTGGTGAAAAAATTAAAACTTTGCATTAAACACAGTTCTAGAAAAATAAACTCGGCATTTTACATTTGGGATTTATTGATCTTCACTTCCCATTGCTTTCTCGCTTATCTTCTATATATCCTTTAATGTGTGCCTTGTTTCTTCACTTACAGCCTCTAGCGATTAGACGATGACTATCTCCTTTTCCCAGAGACATCGCGCTGTATTTTCAGATAGCACACATTACAACTAGTTGGGATTTGATGGTTTGAAAAAATTTGGGCATTGGGTAAATGATATTCACATTCTTTTGGTACTTGTATTTTCCAATGAATGCAAAACATAGTGGTTTTTTAAACTGGCGTTTTACTATTTAGTGCTTATCGCTTTATCAAAATTATATAACTTTGACAAAGCTACTACATTCATTGGGAAGTACAAACATCAAAATAATGAACACATCATATCTAGTTTCCTGATTTTAGAGATCCAGAATTAGTATGATGAACCTATGAGTGTGATTTCCACACTTGTGATATTCCTCAATTTGAAGATAGGCTTTTACTTTCATTGCTTATGGAGCATTTTGGTAGCGCTGAAAGAAAAGTCCTTAAGTTTTTCTGTTTCATATTCCACTTAAGCGCACCACAACAAGTGGTGAGAGTAGAATATCTACTCCTGCCTTGTTTTACTACAGATACCCCTCAACAACATTATTTTACTTCCCCTATAGTAACGACAATAATTGTATTCACCCAAATTAACAGTAGACTTACGTGGTTCTGAAAACTCAGTTTGTTTAGATTTCGGTTTCTTAGATTTCTTCTTCTTTGGAATTGAATTCGATGTCACTGTATCATATTGTGACTGATTTTTTCTCTCCAGTTTGAGATGTTCTGCATCCTCCTTAGTTAAACCCGGAATCACGAATCGCGATTTTTGTTCAAGAATTTTTACACCAACAGATCGGTAACTAAGAGTTTTAAATAAACCACACAACTGATAGTATAATGGCAAAATAATTCATTCTGGTGATAAGAGTAAAACCAACCATAAAATCATACTAGAATGCTGTTACCAACAATGCTTTAAATAAACGTTTTAAAACAAATATAATATGATTCGTCATTACCGTATGCCAGTGCAAGCAACTTCCATGAGCACGACTTCACCTGGGATAACAGAGAAATGCTTAACCGAAAAAAGTAGTCAGGGAATTTCAAGGTCATACGTATGTTACAGAGTGATAACGTAGGAACTTTGTGCACGCTCATACACCGAAATTGAGTAAAGATTCGCATGAAGTATGCAAATACATATGTAGTTTTCCCCCTACTATATCATCAACAACTTTCTACATCTGTCAGAAACAACCACATACGATCGATCCAGTTTTGTACAAGATTAGTTCAGTGAAACAGATACCCTACTAATTTTAACTTCACCTATCACACATACAGACAGCTACCGAGTTATGCAAGCATACTGGTCCATTGCTAAAGATAACTGGAGTAATTTACACCACGATTACACGAAATACGTGAACACTGGTGTGAGGAAGTTGTAAGTGATCACGCAGTAAGATATTACTATCTTCAAATCCATGATTTGACCATTCTTTGGTTATAAGTCTGTATAAATGCCATTAGGTATTTCCTTTAAATATTTCTTCAGAATACTATCGAGATGAAATTTAAAATTTACATTATTTAGCTTCTATTCATGCGACTGTAATTGTACTGTGTTCTTAAGAAACCAAACTACATCTTAAAAGTAATTTGAACTAGCTGCGTATAAGATCACTAGATTAATCCCTGAGAAGTTAGAGACAAAAGTTACCCATATTAAAGTGTATAGAAATGCTTAAAGTGGAATTCTTCGATGGTCACTAACGATGGCGGTCAATTCGCACGATCGACACTTAACTGACTAATAAATTGGATCATACAGAAGTTATTCACCAATAGGAGATATTTACATAAATATGTATAACTTATCAATTTGGGACGATAAATATTGAAAACTGCTGCAATGATCTAATAAGAAATCAGTAATAATCACCTTTCCACCACTTGAAACGGTTTCACATAATGATGAGAAAAACGAACAATTGTAGAGTTTTGTTAGAAACCCTGGTGCTGGGCCGACAAAGGAAATCCACTTTAAAGTAATAAGGAGAGGAGTCATGTATAAATTCATAATGGACGTTGGTTACCATGAAAAGGTAACTAATAATAATTCACTTTATTCCAAACAATTTGTGGTACAATTTGGAATTCTCAGAGTAACATATATTGCAATGACAACAAAATATTAGTATATACGTACTACTTTGCAGCCTTTCGAATTGCTTTATCATAAAAATTTAAGTTATATGAAGAATATTAAGAACGAGAAAATTTCGCATTGTAAGTTGAATTATTGAAATGAGATTTTTAACTGTCACAAAGTTGATGTGTGATTTCTGTTCTAACACTTTTTTCCTCACAAAATATGCGCGCAAGGTAAGGCACAGTCGAGTTCTTATACTTAGCTGTACGAGCATACAGCCTTATGTAGTTTCTCCTTGTCCTCCCTGAGGAGATACATGGAGAGAGCTATAAATGAAGTGGACGCTCACCGTCAGTTAAAATTTCTGTAGCTATTAGCTTGCAGGAATTTGTATGTCGATCAACTACAGTGTTAATCAGTTGAGCCAGAGACACACCACTCACCCTGCTGACGGTCTTCAAAGCCCTACGCAACATAACATAATCCCTTTTAAGAAGACCAGGAAAGATTAATGGGGAATAATACTAAGTATTGAACTCATCAAGTAAAATTCTCAAAGACTAATACCCTTATGGGAATAATCTGCTTCGGTTTTGAAACATGGATAGTACTGGGAATGCTAAAGAAATTATACTGGGTGATAAGTGAAGGTGAGATGAAGATCTGGACCCCGGCCGGACTCCAACCAGAGATCAACGGGTTGCCGGCCCGGTGCTCTAGCGACTGAGCTACGAGGTCCGACTGCTGACCAGCTTTTTATTTCACACTTCAATCACCAAGGGTTTTGCCCGACTACCGTGTGAATTCATGACACGTTGCTACCGCTTGATCGTATTCACACTGACTGCCTAGTCAGGACTTCTCATCCCAATTATGGCGCGAGGATTCGTTCAAGATCAACTCAATTCTTTTTATGCCACTGATACCATTACATCATATCTTTGTGAACTGATGCACTAAAACCTCATGATTTTAGTAACTTCAGACATTGTCAGGTATAGTTAGACCCTTTCACAAAACCCTCTTTGAACTAATACCACCTCCACTCCACCAACAATAGCGTCTCACAATAAAATTATTAGTTTTTTTATGTGTATAGAAAATCTTTTGTTCAACTTAGCATACCAAGTAACGTTTTAATGACGTTACTGATACCAAAATAGTTAAGATTCATTTTGGTTCTATTATAATATGTATCATACAATGAAACAGTACTATTTAATGGATATTTGGTTTTTTTAAATCGTATATCAAATAAAAAACGATTTGTAAGTCATGGTTCTCTTTCAGAAAGTATTTTGACCTATCTGGCTAGTCTTCTGATAGGAAGACCATAAGTTTCATCTATATGCGAGTAGAATTCGGATACTATGGTAGAGTGTAATTCCATCTTAGTTTTTCTACTTCATGCATCAAATAGTGAAACATCACTATTTACTGAATAAATGAGTAATATTGTTTTAATGTGCCATACGTGTAATAAGAAAATCAAAGTGAAATTAAACTTTGCCGCTGCTTTAACTCTTCTCTCATAAAAATAATTTAGATACTCTAATCAAGATGAAAAATATGAGACTAACATACACTGGAATCTCTTCTTGAGGAATATATCCTTCTTTAACACGAACAGCCTTTCTCCATGTCCCGTCAGGTCGTTTAGTTGGAGGAATAATTAAATCACCTATGGGACAGAGGTGTAAAACATTTATCATATATTTTGTAAGTACCATTTTCATCACGAACGACGCCCTGCCTTATAAATTCGCTCATTTGAAGTTTAACAACATGTATACAAGTTCAAAAAGTTCTTCGCCTATACTTAGTATGTCATCAAAATTGGATGAGAAACTGCCAGACAGTAGTAGGAAATCCTAGAAAGTGCACAAGCGTCTAAAAATATAGATAAAAAAGAGAAGTAGTACATTTTCTATCCAATGAAATGGCTAAAATAAGACTGTAAATACAGTAGCAATCAGCGAAAAACCTGGGTAAAAAAATACTTAAGATTAACTTCTAGAGTAATATTTGGGGCAAATAAGTAAAATGGATATATTGCCTATACTTATTGAAAGTTGTAGCTCTTGTGAATCCGCGTCCATCGACTACATTAATTTAAACGTCAGGGTATAGGTGAATCATAAAAATGCATTGAGATAATTAGAATAAAAGCTAATACGGTTCAGAATTATTGAGAATAGTCTGCATTTTCTACTCTATATTTCCCTGTCATTGTTGAACAGTATACAATTCTATAATTGTTCGGTTTCTCTCCAGAAGTGTTCTGTATAGTGTTTATTTCAGCAACTGAATACTCATTAGAACCTGCTAATGAACCTAATCCTCATTTTTCCTTAATATTACCAGTATTGAGAAAATTCACAATCTCAACGCCAAAATGTTAGCAAAGCCAAATACCTTTAAGAGGTTTTTAATCAACCAATCGATACATAGAAACTCACTTCACCTCTCTTCCAGCATGATCAATAAAGACAGTTTTATTATCAACTAAAAAATCTTCACAGTAACCACAAGAAGTGACGAGAAAGAAAAAGATAGCAGCGGCAGTTCTAAATAACAGCCAGTAATTAATTATGTTAACTACAGATACTGACCAGTGAATGGCGAATGATGAGACCATCAATGAAAAAGATAGATATCTGACAGACTAACAGGACGGGTAGCTAGCAAGTTGGATAGAGCACTTTGGAAAATAGTTGAACTAGAATACAAACACATATCACTTCTTAGACATTAGACAACATAGTGAATGGAACACATATCAAACCTTGAACCGACACAAGTCGCACACCCAATAAGTGATCGGGATTGTATATCCCAATGAAGCGACGAGCTATGATGGTAGAACGCATTTCTTCGAGGTCCTACCATGACAGGAAGGTCTGTTGAAGAGTGGAACGACAAGAAGCAATTACCTTTATGTAAGCAGCTACGCTATACTGGGGGTCTGAGGTTACAGACACACTGCTGGTTGAATAGGATGTGACAATATTTAGGTGTCTCCTAGAGACGACCAACAGTTTATGCCGATGCTGCCTTTCATATTGGAAGAAGGGTTAAAGAGTTGGTTCAAAAATAGCACACTGTCTCCCTATCTTACATTCTTCCGGTGCTGAAAGTACGGGTTTACAAATGGATTCAACACAAAGATAAAACTCAAACTTCCAAAAAGGCTTTGTGTGACCAGTCTTAAGCGTATGCCCCTTGGACCCTGCAGTCAGAAAAACTAATCTAGTTTCTTTTTCAGATACCTTAGAGAGTTTTTACTGTGTTGGTGAGTCAAATTATGTTATGAATATTTTGAAGAGTTTGTGCTCAACTTCCTATATCGATTTCCAAAGTCAGTTCAAAACGGTATCACATACTGACTGTTCGTGTTCCGCAGCTATCACTTTTACCACTTCAATTATCCTAAAGTGGTTAACTCTTCGCTATACCTCTTGGAAAACACTTTCATGATTGACGTAAAGACCTACTAAAGCTAAGTGGAACCAAGCAACCGCGAAAATGTAAAGCAAAACTGATGACGAAAGTTCGAGAACTTATCTCGTCTACTAATTCTTGATGACAGAAGACATAATTTATGGGTATAAAGTTGCTAAAATGTATCAGCAATCCCAAGATAACTTTATCTTCAAAAAACGCGCAATTAGATGTGTATAAACCAGATTTTGCGAGCAAATAAGTCATCTTCCATATAGTGGAAGAATGACCGGATGGGGATCCGAAAACCAGGTTTAAATGTTAACTTGTCAATATTAAATCAGCAGATTAACTACTTCAAGGAGAAATAGCTAGTGTTAGGGTCTACAGTCTGTACAGAATTGGCCAAAGCGCTGACGCCAAAAGACAATTGTTTAGACACCTTAAAATAGCTTTTAGCTCCAACTAAGAAATACCACGTAATGCACAGAGGCTTAAGGGAGTAGGCATTTCTGTACACGCTGCAACCTGCCTCACAGACTGTATTAAAAGAAAATCTCTTGCGTTAGAACCCAGTGAACGAAGACGATAAACATATCAGTATAAAAAGCGGCGTAAGTCTGAGGTTAGATAATTATAGGATCACTGTGTGGAGTAAGGTATGAAAAGCTGAACTGAAAGTCTGCTATACCAATGTTCGCAGTTTAGTAACGTAGTTCACTCAGAAAGTCCTGACGTTATCACCCTTTCAGAAACATGGTCAAAATCCAAGGTTAGAGATAAGGAAGTAAATCCGTAGTTTTTCTCTCTACATAACAGATCCGTTTATCATTCAATCATCCACCTGAAAACCGATTTGTGTATATGCGCCCCAGAGACGATTCACATGATAGTGGATCTTGCTAACTGTTACGCTGGGGGCAGGTGGAAAAAACAGAATATTGGCCTAGTCATAATATACTGCAGCGCTGAATGTGAAACAGATTATTTTCACTTGAACAAACTCCTGGACAAGTAGGTAAAGGTGCCTAAGTGAATTGTTATCAGAGTAATAATAGAAGCATTAACTAGTTCGTTTAACTAAAATTTGTTGGAAACCTTCATCTCATTGACACCTAGACAGCATATTGATACGCTTATCATAATTCGTCTCCAGTTTTGAATTGAATGTTGCCTCATAAAGATTATGTGGGATTTATTTAGCACTTAGCCTCCAACAAGAGTGATCATGCAGTGGTCGTCTAGATTACAGCTGTCGTGGCGTGGCAAGCTAACACTCCAGTTTGACGTAATGCATGTAGGGCTGAAATAACAGCTATTAGTCCTGCTGGTCCTTCGGAACGGAGTCATCAATCCAGAAGCCTTAGTCGAAGAGGTATGTTGCTTTTTAAAATGTATCGTGATATCTTTACTTAAATGGGACAATGATATCTAAAGTAATCGAAGATGAAGAAAAAGGAGCTATAGCAAAATATTTTATTGATACCTTTTACTTAGGAACCACCACTACACTCCCGCTTTCCAATGAAAGCAGAGACGTCAAACAGATCAGACGTTTTGAAAGCCGATTGTAATGAAGTGCTTATTGCTTCAAGTACCCTAGATGTAGGATAATCAACAGGTTTAGATGACTTTCACCTAAGGCTACTCAGGAAGCATGCAATCCACTTGGCCAGTCATCTTTAGACTGAACCTTGATCAAGGCATACGAACGTACTGCTAGAAGGATGATACAGTCACACCTATCCAAAAAGGGAATTCGGGTAGCTATTCATTAGAATTTAAGGTCGATAGCCCCCTTAGTAATGTAATAATTCTAGTACAACTAATCAAGGAAGGCATCATCACCTAGATGAGAAGCAACACCCTGCTGTCCAGCTTAAGAAATGGCTTTCTCAAAAATCTCAGCTGCTTGACAAACCTTTCCACAGCAACTAAATGATGATAGTATAAGGATGACAGAACCTGTCAACATTTCTTCTATAGACTTAAGTAGGGTATTCAATAAGATTCTTTACTCAAGGTTGTTAATGAAACTAAAGTTTCCGAATCACCCTTAGTTTATTTGTATGGATCAAAGTTCCTTGTTTGTAGATATGAATAAAGTATAACACCAAACCCTCATCCTTGAATTCAGTACATAACGGAGTACCGTGAGGCATAGTTTCTAGCCCCCAGATACTTCGCAGGCACATTAACAAACCAAAGAGCTTCGCTAAACCCCGTGATTCTTTACTTTGATGACGTGAAATTCGGGTGACAACTAAGTGATGAGGATGAGGTAGCAAACTCCAGCAAAACTCTGTTGTTTCCTGACCTGGCCCGACTGACAGCTATCTTGACGTGATGGTCGGGCTTGCATGCCACAATGACCCAATAAGCTATAGTGGTGGAACGCATGTTCCCTCGAGGTCCTACCATACCAAAAATGTCTGTTGGATAGTGGTAAGGCGAAAAGCAGTCACCAATGTAGTGTAAATTACTACCCCATGACGGGGGTCTGAAGGCGACTGTTGCTAGCCGGATGGGGTGTGACATCAGTAAGGTGCTTCTCTTGGATGACCAGAAGTGCAACGCTGATAATGGCTTCTTAACGGAAGGGGAGGTGGGATTTAGAGAAGGCTGGCTACAAAAATAACACGCTTCACCCTCCCTACGGTGTTCCAGCGGTATAGGTTCTTTCTATCTGATCCAACGTTAGAATAACCAAACCTCAAAACAACCCACAAAAGGCTGTGTGGCGGGCGTCAAGCAGATGTTCAGTGATCCCTGTGGTCACATAAATCTGTTTCTCTTTCAGGTACCTTAAGAAGAGATAGCCTTCTACAGTGTGGGCAGCAGGGAAGTCAACCGTCCGCATGCTTACAATATTACACAAAACCCAATCAAACATAGCCTATCCTCCTCAACTGTCTCTTCTTTTGCCTTCACCTCCTGATGCTAATATTAGGCCCCATACGCCTTCCCCAGCCTCTCAATCTGCAACCAACGACCCAAGCCACCGAAACCTCATTCCTTGTCTCCTAAGAACCCACCATCGGTTTCACGTATGAGCTTTCAACGTCTGAACCCCATGGTGATTCGGACGAGCATCGTTTATCAGAACTCTGGAATCTTTAACCATGGATGTATACTGTCTCTCTTAGACACCCATACACGACCCGAGTGCGGTTATTGGCTTGAATTCACCAGACCAATGTGGTGAATCTTCAAAATCCATCTTACAAGTGTCCGGAGTTGCAATGCCTGGATCGTGTAGACTCACTAGTGTTAGCATGCAATTGAGTTGCAGAGCAGGAAGTGAGCTCTTCCTCTGGATACCAGTCAACAACCATCTATTAGCTGTTCGACTGAATGGACCTGTATGGGGCTAGGATAGTAAGACTAGGCGACGCCTCTTCGTAATCTCCACCTATACACCCACAGACTGCAGTTCGGGTGATGCGAAGGATGAATTCTATGAAAAGCTGTCGATTTTGCTACAGAAAGCGGAGCGTCCATATGTAGTCATAATAGTAGGTGACTTTAACGCTCAAGTAGGAAAGCTGAGCCAATCGGAGAGGTATCTGGAATGAATTTAAGGAATCCCATCCCAACGAACAGACAGTGGTGATCGTCTGTTGCAATTTTGTCCCGACAACTACTCGTTTCCGGCCAGCACTAACTTTAGGCATAATGAGAGATACTATCTCACATGGCTCCCACCGACTTTGAACCAACGATGGACACAGATAGATCACATTTCTATAAGCCATCGTTCGAGAGGATCGCCCCTCTTTCTGGAGTAACTGTTTGGACTCCGACCACGCGCTAGTATTTGCTCATGTACGTCTGCACCTTACTGGCTACAGGAAAGAGGAGCCAGTGAGGCTTATCTGCGCTCGACTGGTAGATGAGGGCGCCAAGTATGCATTTAGAGAGGAGTTAGCTAAGCATTTATTTGGACTTGACAGCAATGCTCATCCTGAGGAAACTTGGTGTGATTTTAAGTCTGATGTGGAAAGTGGTCACGACGGTTGGTAACCTACACCTGAAGGTTAGAGAACGTCACTAGATTTCTGCGATCTCATCCAAACCGATCCAAAAAGACTTATTCCAGCTGGCTCTGACCAAGATGAAGACCGAAAGAAAACTGGACGTCAGTTGACCAAGTTTTCCCAATGATGCCGAACAGTGGGAAGTAACGAAAGCAAGAGAGATGGAGAATATTTAGGTTTATCAAGGATACCGACAAGAGGGAGACAATGATTAGTGAACCCATCACCGTAAAGGATGGGACGCTGATAACCTCCCAGAGCTGGCGACTAGAACGTTGGGTAGAACACTTTGAAGCACAGTTCAGGTGGTCTTCACCAACGCCTCAGTTGCTCAACATTCAGCCAGTTCGAACCTGAGCGAGACGTAGATGTCGGTTCTTTAACTCTCCATGAAGCTATATCGAAGCTGAAACGATGTAAAGCAGCAGGACCTAACTGTTTGCCAGCCGAAGTGTTCAAGGATGGAGGTAGGAAATTCCTAATCAAAGTGACGGGCCTGCTAGGTAGTGCATAGGAGGCAGAGGTAATGTTGTCAGACTAGCCTACTTCATTGATCATCCTAGTCTATAAGAAGGGAGAGAAGTCTTTTTGTAACAACCATAGAGGAATAAGTCTGACTAATATTGTGATCCTAGCGTCAATAGTTATTCGACGCCTAACTGGAGCTCGAGAAAACCAGCCAGGTTGCAGACCAGGACGAGGGTGTATCGACCATATTTTCACCCTGCGACAATCCATGGAAAACAGGCATACATACCGACGACTAAAACTTGCCATATTTCTTGACCTGAAGGCGGCATTTGACTCAGTCGATAGTGAGGTGCTGTGGCAGTGTCTGACTGTGAAACAAGTACCGAGCAAGTATATAGCCCTAATCAAAGTTCTCTACTTGGACTCCTACAGGCGTGTTAGGGCTTATGGAGTTTCCATGTAAATTGACAACTAAAGGTGCCCGCCACGGATGTCCACTGTAACCGTTGCTACTTAACTTCGTAATAGACGTGCTAATGAGCATGACCTTAGGTACGTCTGACTTTACAGAGACCAACCTACTCCCTGGAGGTCATCTGGTTGACTTGGGGTATGCAGGCGATATTGTCCTGGTAGGTGAAGACAATTACAAAATGTAGGCCCTTCTAGACCTGTTGAGCAGAAATATGAGAATGTTTGGCATGCGTTTTGCACCTGTTTATTATAAGATGATACTCCAGGACTGGTCTGCTGCAAGTACTCCCAGATGAACGATAAGGATTGAAGTGGTGGAGTGTGTTGACCACTTCAATTACTTGAGGAGTTGCATTAGTTCGAACAGGTTGGTTGCTGACAAAATCTCAGCTCGGATACAGATGCCACGTTTTACATTTGCCAACTTGCGTCACCTGTGGCACCGAATAGCAAGATATCCGATTATCTATCAAAGGACCAGTATACTACTCTGCAGTCCGTTCTGTCCTGTTTTACGGCTGTGAGACATGGCCATTAAAGTGGAAGACATGAAGCGATTAAAAGGTTTTCACCACAGATATCTTCAAAGCATTGTTCGTACTTGGGGCAATCACCGTGTGAACAATGTTGAGGTCAGGCGAAGGATATCATGTAAGACAGGCAGGTCGATTGACGAAATTGTCAACCTTAGTCGACCGAGATGACTTGAACATGTAGTGTGCAAACCAAGTCACCGCCTACCTTGAGATACCATGCTAAGGGAATCACGATTATGTCAAAAGAGGGTTCAGGGTGGCCAGATCGAAACATGACATCATACTGTCGGCCCTAGTCGTGTAGAGATTTAGGCTGTCTGGTTGGGATCCCCGAGACGGTAAGAACCAGTGGTTGAAGACTCTTGGTGACATGGCTGAAAATCGGTCACAATGGCGCGGATGTATTCACTCCTTGATATCTTTTGAAGGTTGAATATTTGCACTAACTCTTATCTTCAGATTGCTTATTCTCTTACACTAATTTACCTGCTTTGATACCACTCGTTTCCTATCCACCCTTTCTTTGTGTACTACTGTGAAGTGTGAGAACTTGACCCGATGCTTCGGTGTACAAGATTCTACGCTGATTTTGTCAGTTAGTCACTGTTGACCTGACTAGATAAATGGTTGTTGTCTAACAATCAACGTAAGTGTCACCATGCTCATATGGAGTGTGGACGCTTACAATACTAACATTGGAGAAAATAAGCTACCCTCACGAATAACCAACAACTTATAAGCTATAATAAGTCATGACTTGATCATATAAGTCAGTTAATGGGGATCAAGAGTTTTAGGACAATGAACAACATGTATGACATATGCGAAGATTAATCAGGCAGAAATATAGAATCTTGCAGTTTTTGAGTAACTATCGAAAGACGATGAATCAGCCGAATGTGACTGTATGGTCGTTCTGGGAAGCTTCGAGTTGTCGAAAGATTTCGCTGATAACATGTAGGCTCATGCACAATTTCGACAATATCAACTGAATCGAAGGGAACTATTTATCATATTATCACCTCGACTCAAACGGTTGCGTTTCATATACAGGATAAAACTAGAGAGAAGCGGTTCTCAATGGAATATGCTAACTAGACCATTTAACTGCAAGTAACTTCGCAGTATCCATCACGTCATAAAGTATCAAACAAACAGCTATTTGCTCGGTGAATTATGAAACTTTCAAGTTTTGTACTTTGAAATCTACAGAGCACTTAATACCTAATGTCATGAACCCAATGTAATTTTAAATTTTTGAAACTATACTTCTTAAATAATTTGACAGGGGTTCACGCAAATGATTTAAAGGTGATTGGTGACAATTTGACAGTTTAGATGGTTTGATTATTTGTAGTCACATAGATCAATATCTTTATCGTACGTACTTTTACTTCAGAAAGGAAAAAGCGATTGAAAAAATAAATAAGGTGCTAGACATCTTTAAAGAACCACTATTAATGTATATTTTCTTTCATACCTTCATTGAAATGAAAAACGGAACGACTCATTTTATGAGCTCATAGTTTTATCATTTATGAAGATTTCATTGTCGCCTTATACCTGACGCTAGCTAAATCCAAGCACGCAGACTGGGCACGGCAACCCGCCTTTGCCTGATGGCTTTTCATGAAAGACAACTCAGAACCTATGGAGACTGCTCAGAGGACAGTTACTAGTATGATCTACAAGCTAACCAACCTAACTCACAAGGGGTCGTGGGTGCACACTGCTGGGCAGTTCCATACTAGGATGAAATAGCTGTCCAGCGCTTTTAGGTTTCAGTGGTTCTTTAACCAATGCATCTGTGATGAATACTACCAGGCCATCAATAAATCCGCGTGAACCTCCAAATTGAACTATGGGGACTACCTTTAGAAGTTAAAACTTTTCATCTTATTGCAAGCATAGAAGAAAATAAATCATACTAAACATAACCGTAGAAAATAACTGGACTTATAAGTCCAAACCAACTGGCCTAACTACTTTTTCCGTTCCACTAAACTGAAATATCTCAAAGAGGAAAGTAGAGAAGTGTGAAAGCCAAAGAACTTAATAACCTAGAATTAATGATTTTCACATCTTGTAATTAACCCTTAGAGCAGTCTGTCGGAAGTGGCGTCATAAATCCAAGGAACTAGGCCGACAGACCCGTCAAGGTGGGATGACTATCGTATTGTAGCCTTCCATCCTCAAAACAAAATCTGAATAGTGACTCAACAAACATTGAAACAGCATACATAAAGTTGACAACATGTGAGAATTCTCACATAATATTATTAATAATATTATTCACACGTTACGGAAGATTCACATGTATTGAAATAAATGAACGGGACGTTAGTCACATATGCCATAGGACACAGTATCGAACAATAATTTGTGACAATAGTAGGATGATTTATTCCGTTAACACCAACAGTGAACTGAGAATTACGAGCGCTTGACTCCGGACGCAATTATACCTTCCCGCCAGAGACATAGCACCTTTTCCGTTCTGATTGGTTAGATTAATATTATGGAAGGACTAAATTTTAGTGACTGCCCTTGATGTCCAAGTGTGCACTAGCTAATCTGAATCAGGCAGGAAGGGTATCGTAATTAAAAAGGGAAATAGTATCTTATTTACAATTTACCAATCTGTTTGACGTGAAAAATATAAACGCCACGAATTTATAATTGGGTTTATCAACTTTGAAACTGACTCTGACTCCTGGTCGGGATCTGAGGGCCTACATCAGTTCTCTTTCTGCAGACCTCTGTGTCCGTTCAGTTCCTTTTTGAACGGGTTACTTGATGACGGGAACCCTGTAGCGTCATACACTTCCCCAAAATCAATAGCCTAGGGTTTGACGACTTCGACATTGATGCTGACCTTGATAGTTTAACTGGACACGCTAAGCTGAAGGCACCCGGTCAAGCATCCTCGCCATTTGGCACGCTGTCGTGTTACGTTGCATTGCTCGTATTCGACTCTCTAGCCAGTTAGTTGGAACGCGTCGGTATTTTGGCATAACCGTCCAAATATACTATTCCATCCGACTACGCTATCGTGTTCTACCTTGGTCTCGTATTCGTGGGTATATAACAAGTTCGAATAATTAGTGATTGGTCTTTGCGTCTGTCAAGTTCGCACCAGGACAAATCCTAAAACCCCACTTCTTCCGGGAGTCAGTTCCAAGAGCTGATTACCCGACACGAGAACCAGTACTCTGAGGAAACCATATTCGTTCTTTGCTTTTGTAGCCTCCTACTATGTCCTCTGATATATTGAGACCTAGTGGGAAGCAAAAGAGAAGACAGGTCAGGTCCGAAGTCATTTCTTAGAATGCTGTATAGTATGATTAGATCTCCTATCTGTTTGCAGTATGATAAAGTGAGAAGGCTCAGCTCTTTAAGTCGATCTTCATAGGTGAAGCCAGCCATTGCAGGGATCATACGAGTGGCTTCTCTCTGAACTCTTTCTAGGAGGTCCGGGTCAGGTTTCAGACAAGAATTTGCCGCCTATGAACAGTTTTCTGATTTAGACCTAATTAATGATGGGTATGAGATGGTGAACATGTCACTACATATTTTCGCAAACGTTCTACGCGATGCCCAGTGTCCTAAAACTCCGAACCGCTACCAACCAACAGTCTGCCGTGGTTCTCAGTTTAAAACTCACTGTGACTCCTCGGTCACTGTGGGTCAGTACTGATGGCAGAGGGGCCCCATCAGTATCGTAGGTGTTGCCACGTGTTCCATATGCATGCTGACACATTGGCCTGCGATAATATGCATCAGCCAATTCTTAGACCAGGTAAATAAGCCGTATACGTTTATCCGAAGTGCTCGCATATCCTGGTCGTTCCTAATTTCCTGCCAGATTTTTACATCGTCAGTGACTACAACCATGTGGTATTCCCTGATATGCGACAGCTCATCTATGTATACGAGAAACAGCAGAGGACCCAGGACTGTGCCTTGTGGCACTTCACTATTCACCAACTTCCAAGAGGAGAGTTAAAAATTGATCCCTACTCTTTGTTTCCTACCAGCGAGGAACTCTGTTATCCATGCAGGCGGGCTGCCAGTGTTTCCAAAACTTTCTAGTTGCCCTAGCAACGTGGAGTGAAGTACCCCGCCGAACACCAAATTCTATGCAACTTACACCTCCTATCATCCTGGGACTCGACACAACTCTCCCTGACTGTGAGAAGGTTCGTAAGGTGAGAGAAAGTTCTGCGAAAACCACGCTGCCAACGAGACAATGGAGAGTTGCTCTCTAATTGAACCGTATCTTCTTCCTTGATCGCTCTTTTTAGGATTTTTGTCACGGTACTGGTCAAACTTGTCGGTCTGTAATTTAATGGGTGCTGCCTAAAACCTGCCTTGCATACAACCGTAACTTTAGCATCCTTCTGGTAAAAGGGGAATGAGCCTTCACTGAGGGACAGTCTGAAGATAGTCGTCACTTGGCCGGCCGCATGGATTGCAAGCCCTCTGAGTATCGTTGGGTGCAGCTTATCGGGTCCCGTTGGTTCTCCCACGTCGGAAATACTTGATGTCCAAAATATACCACTGCGGTGGATATCCGCAGAGTTTGGTCTGCTGGACGTCAGCATGTTCACTGTTGAAATGACGTCCATGAAAAGTTTCTGTCAAAAGACCTCAGCAAAATATCCGACCACAGCTCCTGCTTTTTCCTTATAGTCTCTAAACAAACAGTCAGTTTCTGTTCCACTGATTGGGGCGGGTACCCGTGATGCGTCTTATTCCTGAGGCTCATATAAGGAGATAACCTTTTCAGGTGTTGCGGCGCAGTTTGGGCAAGACGTGTTATAGGGTGTGTTTGAGGGCAGCGGACAGTAGCAATAAGCTTATTTTAGGTCCCTCTACAATGCTTCTTCACCTCGGGAGCAACGAGGTGAGTCATAGGACTCCAACCCTTTTTCTTACATCTCAGTAAGATTCCGATCCCTCGGTTTATCCGCGGAGTACGATGTTTCCATCCCGCCGGGACATTCCACGGGATGGACGGTTGAGTCATTCGTACACATAACTATTTGAAGGAGCACCATGCAGCCTCATGTGAGGCTTCTGGGTTGATTGTCCAGTCTTCCGAAAAGGCTACCAGGTTAGTAGCTTCCATATTCGCTTTCCACACAATGGGTCTAGCTGGGGTACCGGCCTGTAGCGTCATACACTTCCCCAAAATCAATAGCCTAGGGTTTGACGACTTCGACATTGATGCTGACCTTGATAGTTTAACTGGACTCGCTAAGCTGAAGGCACCCGGTCAAGCATCCTCGCCATTTGGCACGCTGTCGTGTTACGTTGCATTGCTCGTATTCGACTCTCTAGCCAGTTAGTTGGAACGCATCGGTATTTTGGCATAACCATCCAAATATACTATTCCATCCGACTACGCTATCGTGTTCTTCCTTGGTCTCGTATTCGTGGGTATATAACAAGTTCGAATAATTAGTGATTGGTCTTTGCGTCTGTCAAGTTCGCACCAGGACAAATCCTAAATTGGTGAGCCCGACGTGATCACATATCCCGACCAATAACAAGTATTGAATTGGTGAGCCTGTTCCATTTTATATTTGTTTATTGTTTTCATTTCGATAACATTTATATATCCATTTACTACACTTTCTCATGTCCGACCACACTCCCAAGCTTATTCGTATTAAGCCGACCTCGAACACGATCCAACTCGTGCCATATTGGCCAGACAATGCAGAAACATGGTTTCTGTATGCCGAGGCCGATTTTCGAGAACAGGGTGTCTCAGATCCTCATCTCGATTTCTTGCTGTCATACGTTCACTACCGCGAGAATTAAACAGGTTTGTTACAGCAAACATGTTTAATCCTGAAGTAAGTGACCCTTATGCACTTCTAAAGGCCGCACTCTTGAAGAAAAGCGATCTCACAGATCGCCAACGTCTAGACGAATTGCTTCGTAACATCGAGCTAGGCAGCCACTCAGCTACTGAAGTCCTCGCACGCATGCGAGAAGTAATCGGTGCACGAACATTTGACGATGGTTTCTTCCGAGAACTATTTCTCTCGAAACTACCACAACCGGTGCAAACCGTGTTGGTGACACTCCAGTCAGTCCCACTCGACGACCTGGCAGCTTCAGCAGATAAAATACTGGAGATATCCAGCAGACCCGTCTCCAACGTATATTCTATCTGTGACAAAACAGAGCGCCAGGATTCGGAGGTGACCAAGTTGTGCAACTCTGTGAAACGGTTGCTACGATCTCGAAGTCCTAGATCACGTAGCACTTCACAGAAACGCACCTTGGCGCATCGCAGCAAGTCGCGTGGTAGCCCTAAAACGAAACCCAACAGGGTGGAAAACCCTGAATGGTGCTGGTTTCATAACACTTACGGGGATGAAGCCAGAAAATGTCGTAAACCATGCCGTTTTAAGAAGGACACGAACTCGGGAAACGGTCACGCCGGCACGTGCTCACGGCAACCGTAGCCGGCGGAAAAAGCCGTTTGCTCTACGTCACCGACATTAAAACGAAAGTCCGCTACCTCGTCGACACCGGCGCAGAAGTTAGCGTTCTTCCAGCAACGACAAAGGAGCGTCATCTCGACCCATCCTTCAATCTTCAAGCAGCCAACGGCAAGGCAATCGCGACATTCGGGAGACGGTATGCCTACCTCAACTTAGGTTTACGCAAACCTATTCACTGGATTTTCCTCCTGGCAGACGTCTCTATGCCCATCATTGGCATAGATTTGCTGAACCATTACGATCTACTCGTAGATGCTCGCCGTCGACGACTGATAGATAACAACACAAAGTTATCTATTGGCGGCACCACCTATGTAGGTCCGAGTTTAGCCATCGTTAGGACTAAACAATCAGGCGACGCGTCCTACCAGGCAGTTCTGGAGAAATATCCAGAGTTACAACAACCGAAACACACTCTTCCGTGCATAACCAGCAATGTTATGCATCACGTCACAACCACAGGTCCACCTGTGGCATCCAAAGCTCGCCGTTTAGCCCCCGATAAGCTGCAAACGGCGAAAAATGAATTCGACCATATGCTCGAACTGGGCATTATCAGACCGTCAAACAGTCCTTGGGCATCGCCATTGCACATGGTGCCCAAAAAGGATAGCAACGACTGGCGTCCGACCGGTGATTACCGAAGGCTTAACGCCAAAACAACTCCGGACTGCTACCCTATACCCCACGTTTACGACTTGACCGCAACCTTATGCGGCATGAACATTTTCTCGAAAATCGACTTAGTCAAAGCGTACAACCAGATACCTATG